TATAACTTTTTTTTTTTAATTTCCATCTTTGAAAATTTTCTGTGAATACATTAATTAATAAATAGTTTGTTCAGCTATCATATCAAATTATTCTAAAAAAATAACAAGAATAATAAGTTTTCAATTGAAATTTTTTACAAAAAAATTTTACAAAAAGGATACTCGGAAACATCAAAGCAGCACCAATTCACGCGAATTCATTTGCAAAAAGTAAATATAAAAGGCAATCTTCTTTGTTGATACTCACAAATTTTGTTTTGCCGGCAATTTTTCAGAATCAACTGTGAGTTCTGTCAGGGGATTTCATCACTTCAAACGAATTAAAGCAAAAATCCCGTCGCGATCAATCAAAGGCTGCTAATAATGCTCGATAATCAATTCTGCAAATTCGCCGAGCCCGGGGTAACGATTTCGGCTCTCACACAAAACGGCCATCGCTCTGGAGCTGCAATAAAACAATCGGGGCCGCGACCCTCGGCCATCATGCCGGCCGGGCGAATAAATTACAACCCATCAATTACAATCAACCATGCACCGCTAGAGCCGGCGGCGGCGGCTATATCATTGTTCGGCCGCATATTTATCATTTTCAAAGGCATTTTGATTAATTCTCAATCCGGCGCGCTCGCGTTTTAGTCAATCAAACAAAGCCGGCTCTAATTAAACCGGCCGCTTCGCAATCATCCATATCACTTTTTGTCCCAACAGACGGACGGGCACGGCTCGCAGCAAAAAACGCAAAGAGCAACAAAGTGCCGAGTTCAATTAGAATAATCCAGAGTGAATATTTCATTGCACATTCCGAGTCCGTCTTGCCGATGGCAGAGGCAAAATGAGCTGAGCAAACACACATGCAGCTGACGTGTGCACGTTGTTTGTGCACCTGATGTGCTCCCTTCCCTGGCTTTCTCTCTTCGGGCTGTTTTATTTGCTGGATGCAAATGTAATTACTCTTTCAGACGGAAGATGTTTTAGTTGCGACTCTCTCTCTGTAAATTGCATTTGCACAAACGTGGCTTGCGCTCACGCCCGGCCGACACTTTGAGGCGATAATTGGTGCGCTTTAATTGTTGCAACTCTGGTTCGCACTCCAAACGCTTCGTCGGCACGTCTGCCAGGGTTTAGCAAAATGAACTTTGCAATTCGATGTTGCAGTGAGTCACATATGGTAATTGTACGAGATGCAGAAGAAGAAGTTGCTTGCATATTGTTACACAGAATCTGCTGATTCGGCTCGCAAAAGCTGTTGAAAGTTTCTCTTATTGAGCTCAATTACCATCACGTTTTGTTTTGCTTTGTAAAAGTTAATGGAGCAAATGAGAGCAAATAAAAATAAAAACCAACCTTTTCAATTCAATTTTTTTTTCTTATTTTTCTCTTTGATATTGTAATCAAATATTATATTGATCAAGCTCAATCTTCATCCGCAGCGGTTTTTATTAATTATCTTTCAAATCTAAATTTGAACATAAGAACTAACTTCCTCGTGTTGAGTTCCGTATATTGACTTTTTACAATAAATTGCAGGGATCGATCAAAGATAAAATAAGGCCAATGTATACTAAATTTCTTTTGATGCGCACTATTTTGAGATTTTGATGTGGCGAATCCAAAAAAGTCATTTCTCATCAAAGAAAATTATGCTGATGACTTTTAATAATTTCAATTTTATTTATTATTGTTGTTTATTCCTCCACATTGTTACAAATACATTGTTTTCATTAAACTGTTGAAAAAAAATATTAAAAAAAAATGGATTGTTGTAAAAAACGGCACCACCACTAGCAAATTTTTTTTTCTAAAACTTCCGAGATTAAAAAGACCCCATCCGCAGTGAATTTTAGCAAAAATATAATCCGATTTTCTGATATTGTATTTTAAGGATATTTAATTCTAATTTCCAAAAATAAAAAAATTTAATCTATTTATTTTCCTCCATGTTAGATTAAAATAATTTAAAATTATTAAAATTATACATAGAATATTGTGTACACAAATTCTTAAACATTTTGATTGAATTTCACAAATGAATTTTTTTACTCGTACATCCAATTTGCATGATTAACTCAACCGAGCTAGCTTTTTTCATTCCCTGTACGCTCGAGCCAGTCGTTTCGCAACATCGTTTGGATTCTACTCTAGCTAATATTGCAAAAGCAGCTGCCGTCGGCAGAATGTGTGTATATGAAAATCGATCTCTTTTCCACCAGCATATATGCATGGAAATACCAGCACACGGCATTCGCTCCAACACATCTGATATGTTTTGCGCCAGGATGATTTTCGTGCAAATATTTGACACACACAACACTTTTTCCGAGAGCAGCAGCAACAGAGCGCTCCATCAATTTCTTAATCAATTTTGTCAGAAACTTTTCCTGCGCATTTTCTCAGAAACGTTCCTTCATCACTTCTCTCCGCGGCTGCCGATCAAAATTTGATCACACCTCGCGGCGAAATTCGTTGCGTGCGTAGGCGGCCGGGCATCCTGCTAGTTAACTAATCCGGCTGCAAATCCAATCACTCAATAACCGTCGCTGGCGCTAATCTTCATCAATCAAACAAAATATACCAGCCGAGGCGGTATCGATTGGAAACTGCTTTGCCGATAGCCAAGTTGCAGGAGAAAGAAAAGGAGGAAAAAAGGGAGAAGAGCGAGCATGTTCGCATAATTGGCCGCGTTTGTATTCCGAACAAAAATTCGCCTGCCGGAAATTGAATGGTGAATGTTGAGTGTCATCACCCTTAGGCCAAAAAGGGGGTTAGAAAATTAAAGTTGATATTATATTTAAAAAAGGAATTGAACGCTATTTATTTTGTTTTTATAAATTAATCTAAAAAAATTATTAACCTGATTGAAATAATTTTGACATATAAAGAAATTATTTTTTAAGTAAATATCTGAACTTACAATTAGTATCATTTGTGTTTTTAAGTCAATGGAATAATGTTAACAAATAAAAATGAAATTTGTATTTATAAGTTGAGGCGATCCAAAGGTGCCCAAACTAATCTTAAATTTTAGTCCCCCATTCGTATATGGTGGTTTAGTTGAGCCTTGACCAGGTTAATCTTTTGATTGCTCTGATTAATTTTTCCCAATTAAACATTTAGTCCAGATTAATTTCTTTCAATTTCCATCTTGAAATATAACAGCAAAGCGACCTGGGAAAAATTAAAACTTTTAACTTCTGTGCTCGATAGTACAATAATCTTGAATATTTTACTCTTTCTCCACTGATTTTAGGGGAAATTGTGGTTTCCGTATTGTACGCGATTTTCCTTGCATGGTGTTTAGAATAGGCCGCTTTTGTCGAGCCCTATGCTCTGTCCAAATTGAGCGCTCATCCTATCGCCGGTTCGCTTCTGCTGCGGCTGCGATTGTGGGAGCCAACTCGCGGGGAATAAAGAAGAATGCCATTTTCCATTACAACCACCTGGTATAGGCAGGTAATTTCGATCCGTCGAGAGAGCGTCTATATATCTCTGTAGGTGGCGCAGACAGGCCTTTCTATCTCTGCTCTGTAGCCCGGCCACATTTCCCTCCGCCCGACACATCCCGCGCTCATCCGAGTCCTCTCGCTCGGCAGCCTCTCTTAACATCTCAGATTTCCGCCCACACTCTTATTCCCTGTTTTTGATGGGCGGCTGGATAAAAATATTTGCGTGAATGTTTCTCTTATTTCGTTGCTTCTCCCCTTCACTCCGCTTCATTTCATTTCCTTCCACAGATTATGTCGATCGGAGAGGAAACCCAAAAGATGCTTGATATTGAAATGCGAATATATATTTATAAAAAGATTTTGAAGGAGCGCTTTTAATATAGGGAACGAAGAAGCGAAATTAATTTTCATTTTGGGGTCAGGATGTGCGTCGGCTCAGTGGAAATGCAAGTAATTGGGTCGGAACCACCGCAAATTAAGGGCCTGGAGGTTTTCCATTTCGATCGTCTCTTTGATGCATTTGATTAGGCTGAAGGAGGATGAGTGAAATTGAGAGGCTGATTAATTTTGTTCGGAGCTACGTTCATATCAAATGAGGAGGTTAAAAATAACATTTCATTTTTAATAAAAAGCATTTAAAAGACGGAATATAAAATTTATAGCCAAGGTCTGTTGTTTTTTTCAAAAACAATTTATATTAAAAAAAACCACCTGTCAAATAGTAAAAAATTAATATATTTCATAACTTTCAGTGTTATGCAAGCAATTTATTGTTCATTTAATTTATTTGATTAAAAATCTGTGAAAAAACTTATTAAAGTGATTAGTATTCTAAGTGTTTATAGATATAACATTAAAAATAATTTTTTTTATAAGTACCATGCTTTATACATTTAATGTTTGATCTGAAATGCTCCAAATTGTTCTTTTTTTTTGCATAATGAACAAACAAAATTTATTTAAAGAGCTTCCAAAGGCTCAAATTGAATTTTAAACAAATAAACCAGCATCATTATGCTTTTCCAAGAGTAGCAAGTGACAAATAAAAATAATAATAAAAACAAGCCTATTCAGCGTTTCGATGGTATACTGCCTTCATTTCATTGTTTTGCTAGCAACACTGACTGTGAGCCAATTCTCATAAAAAGCGCCGTTCACAAAGCGACAGAGAACAACAAAAACAAACGTTGCGATCGATTTGAATAAAAGCGATTGATTCATGACTTTCATGAGCACGCGACATTTTCTGCGCCCCGGGCAAAACGCGCCCTGTTCTGGGTGTGAAAGTGTTTTCTCCGAGGAGTTGTAAGATCGCGGAATAGGATATGAGAATAAGTAGCTTTCGCGTTAAATTCACACACGAGTTGAATTTTCACCTCGAACGTTGCCAGGCTAAAATTTAACGCGAAATTCCCCGACGGCAATAATTGTGGCGGCGCGACGACGGCTGGGGAGAAGAGTAAGTCATTATCAATTAGCGCGTTTTGCAAGTCTGGCGGATCAAAGTTTGACTTGGCGTCGCCGAGGGAGAGAGAGAATGTGAAAGATAATACTCACCGACTTATTGCCTAGCTGCTTGACTTTGCAGGGAAGAAACGCGTGGGTGCCGAGCTGAGCTGTGATGTTGGTGGCTATGGACGTGTCGAAGTAGGGCCCTGTGTATAATCCGCTAAACCTCTTGACGTGCTGGTGCAGCATCGGGTTGCTCGACGCACCCTCGTGGTCCACCGAGTTGTCGGTGAAAACCGCTGCCGCGATCGCTAGAACAGAACAACCGAACGGGTTAAATTAGTGCTAATTGCTTTCGAAGCCGTCGAACACGCGTTCTGGATTAATTCGGTCCTCGGCGGCTGACGAATCGAAATTAATCAGATTGGAATTGAGCCCGGGCGGTTCCAATGAATTTGCGGGCACTAATTGGAATTGAATGGGGGAGAGAAGTTTGAAATGTGCCCGAAATTGGAGCTTCTGAATTGAGTTAGGAAAGGAGTGAAAAAATTTAATTCAAAAGTTAGCTTTTGTTTCCAACTTTTGATTAATTCGCAAATTTTTGTGAAATTTAGTACTTAAAAATTACACAGTTGTTTTAAACTCGTTGAAAGTTAAATGGAAACATTAAAAAAAAAATCTGCAAAAGAAAATACTGCAAATTATTTGTAATAGAATCGATGTTTTGCTTTTTTCGCATCAATTCTTTTATGTATTCAAAGTGAATGTATCCCATATTTTGCAATTTTTATTGCCATCATTATATAAATCAATATAAATTAATAGCAATGAATTATGTATGGAAAAGGAACAGATCTAGCATACCCGCTAAAAACCATATTTAAGCTTATATCTGGACACGGACTGAGAGAATTTTACTAATTAACACAAGAAAAACACAAAAAACGCACCAATAAATATTTCAAACACATTTTGGAATATACTAGATTACCATGCAACAAATGGCCTTTTGGAGTTTGGGGCAGAAACGATTACGCAAAAAATGATTGTTTGGTGAAATAAGTCAAATATTAAGACAGAATAAATTACTGTTTAAGCATCAGCTTTTTAAAATCACATTGATTTCAAAATTCAGATCTTTATTTTTGACAATACGTATTTAGTTATTTGTTTTTCACCACAAAGTTAGGAGCTGAACTAAATAGTAATTAATTATTTTTAAAGCTGCCTAGCCTGCAACATTATATCCTTTATTATGCTTTGTTTATTTCCTCGTGTTTTGCTAGCGCAGGATGTAACCGCCATAGCTCATAGTTTCAAAAAATATTTTCCTGGTGCGCCACACAGTCAGAAAGTAACAGGCCAACGGCAAATTCTATATAAGCACGTGCTATAGTTTCCACATTAAAATGCTGGTCTGGGAAAATTTTTGGCTGTACTCAATTCTCTTTTTGGCCCTTGCTGCAGAGAGTCAGGTAAAAACAAATGTGAGCAAAACTTTGATGAAAACTGAGAGTGTGAAAAAGCACTTTCAGAAGGTCGGAAGAAAAACATTTGGAGGTAAACCAGTGAAATAGTTCAGGAGATTTTTAGAAAAAGTAAACTCAAAATTTTTTAAGGTGCATTGGCACGCTCGTTGAAGACGGCAAGCAAACGCAAGACAATTATCAAATGCTGTGGTACATATAGTTGTATCAATTTCAACGGCAAAAATCATTCGATAAAAATGACAAGCACATTAGTAATATTCTTTTTTATTTGATAATTTGTAAAAATTATGCCCTGTAATCATTCAGAAAACTGAATATTTAACTGAGCTGCGAAATAAAATATCATCTATAACTTCACTTTCTATGGAAGAAACCAACACAAAGTTCGACATTTATGAAAACAACAACAATCCGACTTCAACCTCAAATAATGATGGAAATTTGAACGAGTATTTATCTGATACATCAACTTTAGGAGTAATTTTGCCTATAAGAATTATTATTTTATATTCTTATTTTAATTTTTGAGCTGTAGGAGCTTTCATCAGAGTTTATTCCACCTCAACTTTCATCCTCCGATGTTTCTCTAAATTCATCGCCCATGATGCCGATCACACCACCAGCCACCACTCTTCCTGATACAACGACTTCAAACCCTGTCATTCCACAAGTGACTACTGCTGACGTAAAAAACGATTCCCCGGTATGAAAGCATTGAAAACATGCTATTGTAGTAATTCAATTTTAAATTTTAAAAGATTTTTACGGCAAAAGCGCTTTTGACGTCAAATGTTAATGAAATTTCATCGTCTACCATATCAGACATCAAAACCATTCAAAATACCGAACCTACAAAAACCTACAAACCTACGACGTTGACAAGTTCAACAAGATTATCTACCATTCCGACTTTGACAACAACAGCAGCCACACAAATTATTGACGTAACGACTAGATTTTAGGCTCAAAATTATTTTTTAATTGTTTTAATATTGTTGTGTAGCCAGCTTTGGTCGGGAAATGTAAGTTGGCCACGAACGCCATCAATGTATGTAGTCGCATTTCCTGTCAAACCGCTGCTCTATATTATTTTGTTTGAATAACAGCGGTCCCTGTTTGCAACTAATGGAGAACTAGAGGGTAAGCAAATTACAGAATTACGAGGAAATTATAAAACAAAAACATACGTAACAGATCCAGATCAGTATGGATTCTGGCTGGACACGTGCGGCCAAACTCTGTTGCTCGGAAAGTCATTGGTCTAGATTTTCTAATAAAAAATTTTTTCTTTAATATTTATAAGGAAAATCTTAATTTTTAGGGCACTTGGCAGCAAAACTCGGAGGTGTGTTTCAGCCTAAACATGCAGCCTTTCGCTCTTGAGAGCAAAGAGAAACTCGATTGCATGAAACGCGAAGGTATGATTTAATTTTTATTGATCAATACTTAATTTTTCAATTACTAAAGCCAAGACCTGGAAGTACAATTTGAACTACTGGACAGGCGGGATGAAGGACTTGGCGCGCTGCACACTTGGTTGGTGTTCCACAAAGGGAGTTGCGCCCTGGCAGGACGTTCTCCCTTTGGTCAACCTTGAGAAAGACCAGAACTGCATCCAGATGCAAATTTTCAAAACCAACGGCTCCATCTTGATCAGCGACAGACGGTGCTCGGACAAATCAATAATCGCTTGCCAAGTTTGATCCGAAAAAAAATTATTAAATTTGACTTGTCGTTATTTTTTTTAAAGGGCTCTACGACAAAACCTCCTCAGTGCGTCAGTCCCGTTTGTCCAAATGTAACCTGCCAGAAAGACGCAAGTGAATTTTTTTAAACTTGAAAACATAATTGTGAAATTCAATTTAAATCTACAGCCGCAGTTTTTCACTACAGCTAAAGACAAATCAACTATCCTTAAAAGTAAATATTGGAGAAAATAATTTTAATATTTCATCAATATTTTGCCATATTTAAGATGAGACTACACACGGAAAGTGGATATTATACAAACTAAGAACCTACCTATTCAGCTTGCAAAACGATACTAGAACTGTGATTTTTTTTTCTTAAATTGCCCAATCAAAAGAGCTAATTCAAAACTTTTAAATCAGTATTTGGAAGCGACGAAGGCATGTTGTGCTTTAGGCATGTCTCTGCTGAGTTTGGATGGGCAGTACAAGTACGAAGCTTTGAGAAACATTAGCACTTCCAACGAAATGAAGACAGGCAAAAGCATTTACAACGAAATTATTTACATAAACTTTACTCTCCTGGAAATATTTAGAAGCCCAAAACTTGACATTTTGGACTTCCGGTTCGGATGAGGGTTGCGAGTCGGTTTTCGGTTTCTGTTCGGCCAATCGATTGTTTCGAAGTGAGTCAATGTGGCTGCCTGGACAACCAGACAACGCAGGAGGAAATGAGAACTACGTGGCTGCACACATTTGGCGCGAGAAAGGTCAATTGTTGCTGGCTGATTATGACGGACGGACCAAATTCAGATACATATGCGAAGTATTAAAGTTTTATTTTAATTTTATTACAATGAAAATAAAATAATATTCCGTTTAGAAAAGACGCAATCCACAGTCAAAAAATGAAAAACAAACAATTGTAGACGAATGCTCATTAATCTACAAAGTCACTACAAGTAAACCTAATATTTGTAAAATTGGAATGAAATATAAAAATAAATAATTTAGCCGAAATTGACTTGCTGCGGAATACAACAAAATGGGACTTGCGTATGAAGGTTGGCTTTGTGATATTTTAAAATAAGCAGCATAAAATAAGAAATTTTCAGTGTTTCATTCAATGTGCTGGAGATGCTCTGGGGCTGGTATAATTATCAATAGTTATTATTTTATTAGTATTAATTTTTCACTAATTAAAAGATTGTTGGTGGGAGGTTTGTGGAGAGCAAAGTTTTCGCAATTCTGGAAACCATGTCTCTGCAAAATGTGGACGAGCTCATCAAAAATATGGCCATCATGGACGAGTGTAACAATAAAACATGTATGCATTAAGTTCAAACGGCAATCTACAAATATTAAAAATTTAAATGAAGACGGTATGGACGAGTGTGACAAGGCGTATCGGTTAACAAAGTGTGCCAGGGACAAGGCGCCACAGGTCTTTGACCAAATCATCAAAGACTTGGACAAGCAAGCTGCAGAGGTCTTAAGACGAATTTGTTTTAATGCACCTTCCAATCCTTTAAAATTTGCAGCGCGATGAATTATTTTCAACTTCATCTGGATGTGTTTCAAATACGACTTGCATTGTTAATGTGCGAATTTTAAATTTTAATTTCATAGTCATTTTGTTGAGTGATTTGGATTTAGGAAACTGTTAAGAACGATTTATTCTCATTACATCTGAAAATGAGTATGCTATTTATTATCAAACAACACACTAGATGAATCAGTATATGGATATCTATAGATGTGTCGACGTGCGCTGATTACATCAATGGAACGTGGGTCTGCAAATGCAACGATTCTAAATTGATTTTGATTAGTTATCGTAATTCAAACGTGAGTCCATATTGAAAGAAAATATTCACCATTAATTAATTTTAACGACAGTACTACACTTTCGCAGACGCAGTGAGGCTTTGCTGCTATTTTGGATTGAGATTACTGTCGCCCTTCAATTATGTTAATGCTACAAATTGTTACGAACTGCCGCGTAGGTTCTAAAATGTATTTGAAATTAAAACTAACAGAAAATTCCTCTTAAGTTATTCAATCGACCTACGCAAACCGTTCCTGGACGTATGCAAATGCTCTTGTGGTCGACACGGCGAGTGGGTTGGTCCGCGATTGCGAATCCGGCAGGGATTTTTATCCACAAAATCTTAAACCGAGTCACAGAATGATATTTGATACAAATAATGTACTTAGCGGTGGGACCCTGGTCGCTTTTTACAGCCTTAACAGTGGCAGTCCGGAATATTCAGCCATGGGATCAAATCATCTGAATTCATTTATTTGCGAGAGTTAAAATTGTGATAGATCAATAATCACAATTTGCAACTAAAATAAAAAAAAAACTGATAATAATGATATAGTGTTAATATTAGAGCCAGGAATGAATTCTACAGTGATTTTTAGTTTCCCTCAAATCCATTTTGATTTATTATATAATTGATATAAATGTATCAAAAATTTGTAGTACATTATTACATTAAAATATAATAGTTCATTTATTGCAAATCCATATTAATAATTTGAATAGTTCTCTACAAAGAGCAAAATGTTTTTACTGCTCACCCTTAAAAATAGATGTTTTGCCAAAACGAGAGCTGTTAAATACGTCTCCGAGTTCATCCTGCTCGTGCGAACAAAGACTGCAAAATCCGTCTTTAACTGTATAGCTGCTTTCTCTCGTCGAGCGCTAATCAAAAACAGGAAGCGCGTCTTTCTCATCCTGCTGCCAAATGTAAAACACCCTTTCCGCAGCCCGAGCATTGTTCGTTTGTGTGCCGGAGAGAAGCAAGCAGCTCATCCTTTGCAGCAATTCCGTACATAGCAGTTCTCTGATTATCTTATCGACCGATGCAGCTGCCCTCGCGAAAAATACACATACACACGAGCGCGCGAACGAACGAATTCCCCGCAGAAAACTCGGCCATCTCTCTTCCACTCGGCACACAAAAGAGAGAAGAAATTTCTATCTCAACCCGAATCCATTGTGAGAGAGTGTCCGTCCCCGGCGCCTTTCCTCCGTGTTGACAAGTGACGTCAGCCATCGCTTCGAAAGGAAATTCTTCGGCTTGTTTTTCCAGCCAGCGCCACTCCACATGCATGAATAAGCCATTGGATTCTACACTCATTGCCGCGACGAGAGCATGTGCTTTTAAACAGGATTTAGAAATTCTGGCTTGTATGTAAAGGGTTAAAAATGTTGTTCAAAATTTATATAGTACGATTTCCCAACTGCGGGGCAAACAAAATTTTTGAAATAATTTCAATAACTAAATCAAATTTTGTTAATATCTATGATATACAATATACAAATATAATAAAAATTAATGTTTTTGAACTATCAAAACACAAATTTATCAAATCATTTAATATTCTTCAACCGTACAATTTAATATAGTTAACAAATTTAATTATTTTATTTAACTATTGCCATTTAAATGCATGCAGCTTCCAAAATGGAAAATCAACGTCGATTAATTTGGTCATTTTTCACTTTACAAATTAAATACTTTGAATGTTTGCAACCCGCTTAGCAACAAAGTAAAACAGGTTGCAGACTTTTGCTGATTCAAACAATTCTAAATCATAAATAAAGAAATCTTTCCAGTTTTAATGTGATTATTTCAATTTTGACAACTTCGTTTTGGAAAAATAAGGGCAGTCCATTGCTATTTATACTGCTGTCTTTGTTTCCTCTCAGAGAGATCTGCATTCACCCCGTCGTCGTTTCTCATAAACCGTGCAGCAGCAACAATCGAACGAAAACTGCATTTATTTACGTCTCGTCGTCTTTGTGCATGTTTGTGTTTTTATGCCAAGTCGCTTTCATGCGCATCAAGGCCTCGCTGCAGCGACGTGGGAGCTGCACAGATGGCGGCTGCAATCTTTCGCTCGGCAGATAAAATGTGTCGAGTTCCGCGTGCAATAAATAAAAGCGGCCAGAGATATATATTATGTATTCGTTCGGTCTCTTGGTCGGTGCCGAGGCGTGACGCGCTCGTGCTGCTCCGCTAAAATCTCGCATCGATTTTTATGCTCGCCGCCCTAGCAGCTCATTGCCATTCCGACGGCGCTGATTACAATCACCTTTGCTCTTCACGCTTCCTGAAACTGGCTAATGATTTGTCGGGAGGAACGAATTTGCATTTTATTTCTTGCTTCGCGGTCGGCGCTGCCGAATGGCGCGAATCGGGGCCAACATGCTCCGAGTTTATGTATGCGTTTCGCCACCTCAACTGTCAATATCGATCTTGGCTTTTTGATTTGTTTTTAAGTGTATAAGTGCAATAACTTTTTTTTGCATAAAATTATATTTCAGGTAAATTAAAATTTTTGATTTAAAGTTTTTAAACGTTTAAATTTTTTATTATATTATAACTATTAGGTGAATTGGGTCCATATTATCAATTGTATAATTCTTTAATGATTTTCTTTGAATTTTGTGACGAAATGAATTAAAGAAATTAACGTTCTATATAGACAGAAAACATTATCTTACAAAAATGAATTTTAAAACAAGTTATGAGATCAGTTTTGATAATTGCAGGCCTGACAATATAAAATATTAATTAATTACATTCATAAAATGTGTGGCAAAATTTTCAGTCTTAAAAATGTGTTGAATGTAAAAAGTATAAAATTTTAAAAGCTTTAATTTTATTTTATAAATTTAAAATGGTGTAATAGTTACAAAAAATATAATCAATGAAAATATTTTTAAAAAGTTCATATATTTGATATATGTTATTTTTAATTTATTCAGGTTATTTTTACAGAACCTATTCTCCAAAAGACAACAATTCTTGTTAGAAACTGATGCATCAGACGGAAATCCGCAATCAAAAAAAGTCGGAGTGGCCGCGAGGAGTTGCCAAAATTTTTTGAAACTTGATAGCCACCGCGCGCCCGTGTGCTCGAGATTAAAAAAAGTCTTTTGACCCCATCTGTTAGCGACGGGACAGGGGTTGTAAAAGCATTTTTTTTCCACCACCACCGCCGCCGGTCGCAAGAGGGATCATCTATCATTTGACAGGGTGCATTCGGAATTCTCGCAGGTGAAAGAAGTAAAAGAAGAAGAAGAAGCACTACCACTAGAGCAGCTCCAACTCCATTCGCCCGCAACTTTCAACTTTGGCTCTATGAACAAACTTTTTTCTCTCTCTTTCATTCTTTCCGATCGCGGCGTCTTTTTTCTCTGGGCGAACGGCGGAATGCTTTTGCATAGAGAGAAGAAGTCAACCAACTCTGCCTCCGAGGGATGAAAAGCAGCAGTGGCGGTTTCAGTTCAGTTATGAAAGATGAGACTGATTGTTGGTGAACCAACGGGAAATCTAATAAAAGCGTAAATATGCCCCGGGAAATGTATATATATGTCCGGACAAAACTTGTCTATGTGCCCAACGAGAAGAATTTTTTCCTTTCCAACAATCAGTCGAATCAACTTTTAATGTTTTTTTCCTTCTTTTTAATGCCTCTTTCATAAGACTCACAAACGTGAATGGCTGAGCTCTTTGGGCACAAAATTATTTATGAGGCAGAGGGAATGTTCTTTTTTTTCCTATTGATTAATGCCTTTTTACGACGACGGCTTGGTATCAAATGGAAAAATGGACTTTGCACAAACATTTATTTTGCTAGTAGGCCTCTGCAATCCAAATTTTCGGTGGAGAGAAAAACATAAAAACGCGATTACCGGCGGGCGGCGCTACCAAATTCAGATATAAAATATCACAACTTTTTTCCCCTCTTAAACCCCCATCTTTTTTCACTCAGGCCAAAAAGACGAGTTATTTATAGTCGCTTCTGGTAACAAAGAGTGGAGAAAAAAAGAGAAACACCCGCGGACGCAATCTTTTTTCCACCCTCTCATAATCCCCGGGCTAACCGGCAATCGGAAGAAAAGAAATGAACATAAAATAGCGGGCGGGAGAGAGAGAGAGAGAGAGAAACAATGGAGAGCCCTGTGTACACGCACTGTGTGTTTCTTTCTCTCTTTTTTATAGTCTCGTGCTCGCCTCAACAAATAATACTCCCAGACGATATTAAGGTTCAGAATCTTGGTGGCATTGAGGTTCAAAACTTCATAAAGATAACGGCGGTGCAAGTAAGCGAGCATCTGCGGGCGCCTCCAAATCTCGGCACCACTTGCCAGCACCAGCAGGTTCTCCACAAGAACTCTCTGCAGCCGCCCCTTGAAATTCTCAAAGTCGGAGTGTGTTTCTCGAAATCATCACGTCTCTCATTATTAACTACAACACACAAGAAGTCGGTCTCTCTGCCTCGCAAACACGCAGAAACGGGTCATTGTGCAGGCTCTGCAGGCAGCCAGCGCTGCAGCGAGTGGCTTTTGAATGAGTTTCCTGACAAATTTCCTTACGTCAATCCTCAAAAGAAACTATTTCGTACTATTTATATTTAAATTGAAAAAGCAGCAAGATATATCAATTGTTTGTGAAAAAATTTTTTTATTTAAAAACAATTTAAAATTAAATTTATATCAAAATATTAAATGTTAAATTATGATATGAATATCTCGTAATTTTTTAGTTTATTTAATTTTTACTTTTTATTTAAATTTATTACAAGAAAACTGAAAAATGTTTCATTAATTTAGTTTTAAAGGCAACCTAATAACTTTTTGCATTAATGTTTGTTTATATAATTTTATATAAATTTGGTCATTAATATCTACTTGTTATAATTTTTCTCTCTCAATAGGTGCTTTTTCATATCTCAGGTTATCGCAAAGTATGGAATTAATTAAATGTATATTCAATGTATTGAATACGAATTCAAATTTAGGGATAATTCATGAAACAATCCCTAATTAACTGTAGATATTCTAAGAAAAACACTATAAACAAAAGAAAATCTATCCTAGATGATTTCATTGCACTACGAGATACGTACTAACTGGGTGGCGTAAGGAAATTTGCTCCGCAACCCTCTCAACACTCCGTTCGTCTGCACACAGCATTTTAGTTGCCAAATTTCGCCGCTGGGAAAGTTTCTTCCTTTGCAACAACTGAAAATTGACCCCCATTGTGCGTGCCCCACTCGGCGCGCAACGTGAGTACTACCATTGCCGGCGTGGCTCATACACGTGTTCCCCCCGCATTATGCAAGCCTTCCATCACCGTTATTGCGGTTCGTCTCTCTAACTGCCGCTGTGTGTTTAACGTTTTGTTTGCGTTCGCCGGCTCGCTCACTCGCTCGGACACTGACTGTGGAGTTAATTTAATGGTGGGAAAAATGCACTCATGCAAATTAATGTGTGCGACGCTTCTATTATCCTGT